AGGGCAAATATAAACTGTCCCAAGAGCTTACCTAGAGGATCATCCGGATTGCCTGATGAGCTCGGCGGCGTGATAGCTCTCGAGGACACTGCGATCGCTATACCTGGGACTGAAGCTCGGCCGCAGCACGTGGCCCCAGATTTAAGGTCGAATCTAGTAGGCCTTGATAAGTAGACTAGAGTTTTGGGGAGTTATTATTGTGTAATTCGCCTCGGCCTCCGGCCGAGTGGCGTCTAGAACATCCCACATCGCTTGGAGGAGCCCTAAACCCTAAACCCTAAACCCTAAACCCCAAACCGATGCTGTGGCCCTCTCAGTGGCTTCCGACAAGCACCCTAAACTCTAAACCCTAAACCTCAAAACCCCAAACCCTAAACCCCAACCCCAAAACCCTAAACCCTCAGCTCTAAACCCTTGCATCCAGGGTTTAGGGTAAGAGTTGCCCAACCTCAAAAGAAGCCCCGGTGGCAACAGCTGTTGCTAGGCCCTCCGGCAGCCAATTAGGGTCTAAGGCTTTAGGGTTTAGGGTTTAGGGTTTTAGGGGTTAGGGGTTAGGGGTTAGGGTTTAGGAAAGAAGTGACCCCTGCTACTGTCTCCTCTTTCTAAGAATAGGGGCCCAAACACTTACAGAAACATAAGGATCGTATTGGGGTATACGGGCCCCTAGAAAGGGGGTTCCGAAAAACCCTGTTTGTAGGATCCTTACGTTTATGTAGTTTTTGGGCCCCAAAGAAGGGGTTGAGGGCAGTGGGGTGTGTAAGGGAGTCTGATGCTGATAAGAAGCCGATAAGCCCGAAACCCGGAAGAACGGACCCTCTACAGCCTATAAGTCCCGCTCAAGCAGTACACCCTAAACCCGAAACCCGAAATCCAGATCCCCGCCCCCCCCCCCCCGCCCCCCCCCGCCCCCCGCCCCCCGCCCCCGCCCCCCCCCCCCCCCCCCCCCCCCCCGCCCCCCCGGGCAAGGTCCAGGCGTGACCGCGTGCTCGTGCCGCGCGTTGATGAGGAAGTTATTGTTGAAGCCTGGGTGCCCCACATCCTGGCAAAGGATCAGGGCTAGGAGGCTTTAGTCGACTTCCGCAGCATTCAAAGGCTTTAGGGTTGATAGTTAGGGCATATATACATATGTATATCTATACATATATATATACATATATATATATATATATATATGCTCGCCCCCCCCCCCCCCCAACACATTCGGCCTCGGGAAGGCTGTGGATGTGGGGTTTTGGGAGGGGGGGGGGGGACTCCAGACTCCAGACTCCAGATTTCCAGAATAAATCTGGAGTATCGGGGCCCTGGACTCTAGAATCTGGAGTCCGTAATCTGGAGTCCGGGGCCCCGGTACTCCAGATTTTTTCTGGAAATCTGAAGTCTGGAGTCCGGGGCCCCGGTACTCGAGTCCGGGGCCCGGTTTCTCCCTTTGCACGTTTAGGGATTACGGTTTAGTGTTTATTGTTTAGGGCTTAGGGTTTGTAGGGTTTAGTGTTTCGGGTTCAGGGTTTAGTGTTTAGGGTCTAGTGATTAGGTTTTGGTTTCAAAGGTTTAGAGTTTTCTTTTTTGGGTTTAGGGTTAAGCGACTTGGAGAATGTCTAAAACCCTAAACCTTATAACTTATAATGATTACGTTTTAAAACCCCTAAAGCACCGAACCCCCCATGGTTTTTTTTGGTTTGGGGTTTAGGGTTTAGTGTTTAGGGTTTAGGGTCAGGACTTGTTGTTTCGGGTTTAGGGTTTAGGGTTTAGTGTTTAGGGTTTAGTGTGTAGGTTTCAGGGTTTAGTGCGTTGTGTTTAGGGTCGAGCTGCTGAAATTTTGAATGGCTTTAAATGCCTTAAAGCCCTTAAACGTTTAAAAGGGCTGCCCGTTCAAAAAAACTAAGGAATTTAAGGATTTTGAAAATTGGAAATGGTCTGGGGAAGCCCCAGTGCCTTCCGCAGATCATCTAAATCTTTAAAAACCCCTGAAACCCTGAAAAGCCTGAAAATTTTAAATGGCTGCCCTTCGAAAATTTTATGGAGCCGCAAGACACACGTTTCAGAAGCAACATGCACATAAAACACTAGTGTTTTTATAGGGGCTAATATAATAGAGCTTTTTGTATTCCAGTACAGTTTTTACTGCATTTTTTCCGAGGAAAAATCAGAAATCAGACAAAGACGAAGACAGGAAAACCATAGGTATGGATCATTGGGGGGGGGGGGGGGGGGGGGGTGACCATATACATATATATATATATATGTACATTTTCCAATAAACATAATTATCTTTGTACTTATATTTGTATTTCCATTTGTAGTTATAGTTGTAATCATTTCTTCATATATGTACCTATATATATATATATATAGAGTATGAGAGATATGTATATATATATATATAAACGCTACGATGATTTTTCATATTATAAATATTATTATCATTGTTATTACTATTATTACTATTTTTATTATTGTCATTTTTATTTTTATTCTTCTTAATTTATTAGTATTCTTATTATTATATACAGGGGTTAGGGGAAAGGGTGCAAGGGTTAGGCAGATATATATATATATATATGTATATACATATCCATGAATATCTACAAATACATACATTATATATATATATAGGGTTTAGGGGAAAGGGGTTAGGGTCTGGGGGTTAGGGTTTTAAGTCTTCGCGTTTAGGGTTTAGAGATTCCAGTCTGGGATATGGAGCTTACTAGCGGCAATCTGGCAAGCCGTGCTCACTGTCCATCAGTCCATCATGATTCCTTTTCTGCACCGAAGTTTCCGACAATGTCCTCAGTATCCCTAGGAGATACGACCCTGCAACACTCTGAACCCCAAACCCTAGAACATCCTACAACCCAAAACATCCCAACACCTGCTTTAAGCTCTGAACCCAAAAAACCATTAAAGCCTCACCCCCAAAACCTTCAAACCCAAAACCCATGCACTCCTGTATTCTAAACCTGGAAACTTGTACCTCTACACCCCAAACCCCTTCGCATTTTAGGTTTCAGGGTTTAGGGTTTAGGAAGGTTCACAACGTCCCAGAAACCCCGGGCAAAGGCGTGGCGGCTCCACGTGTCCCAGGGCAGCCAGGATCGTAGTGGCCACGGACGTCTCGGAGATGTCGCTGACTTCCTGGCAGCAAGGCGTTACCTGAAAATCACCTCAAACACTACCATCCTACAAACCCTACCCTAAACCCAAAATCCTAAATCCTAAACCCAAAGCCCACTTATTCTAGCACTCCTCTGGAACCAACTTCCCCCCAAAAAGGAAGCCCAAGAAGGGCTCCAGAACTCGAGCCCTAAACCCTAAACCCTAAACCCTAAACCCTAAACCCTAAACGCTAAACCCTAAACCCTAAACGCTAAACCCTAAACCCTAAACCCTAAACCCTAAACCCTAAACCCTAACCCTAAACCCGAAGCACCCTTACAGGGATTTAGGAATTTCGGGGTTTCGGGCCTTCAGGTTTATACACTACGTTGTTCAAAGGCTTGGGAGCTCTGGGGCTTTGAGGTCCCTACCAAGGCTTTGCAGATTTAGGAATCGGGGCCATCATGATTGTCGGGGATTTGGGGTCACAACCCTAAACCCTAAACCCTAAACCCTAAACCCTAAACCCTAAACCCTAAACCCTAAACCCTAAACCCTAAGCCCACCTGCAGCCCACAGTTCTCCAGCATGAAGTAGACGCTGTTCGTCATATCCTTTGGGGGGCCCAATCGTTGGAGGCCGAAATCAAATCCCTCCTATGAATCAAACCCTAGCCCTAAACCCTAAACCCTAAACCCTAAACCCTAAACCCTAAACCCTAAACCCTAAACCCTAAACCCTAAACCCTAAACCCTAAACCCTAAACCCTAAACCTAGCCCTAAACCCTAAACGAAGAGGACAACCCCAAATCCTAGCCGCTTACGGGTTTGGGGATTTCTTTTGGGGGAGGGGGGTCAGCCCTAAGCCCTGAACCCTAAACCCATTTCGAGAGATACATCTGAAGCTTCCGAGAAGGGTGCGGCCCATGATTTCGGATTTGGGGCTCAGGCGTTCCGGCGACATCTTCCACACTGCCCTATGGATGACGCATGCAATGAGTTGGGATTATGACCGCACTTGCTCTGCATAACTACACATGAACCTTCAAGCAACTTGAGCATAGGGATTCGGACTTGCCGCTGCAAGTGCGCCCACAGCATTCTAACTTGCTGAAACGTCTACACCGGGAGACTGGCACAGGCAAACATGGCATGCAAAACCCAGCTGCGTTTGCTTTTGGGTTTAGGAATGTTTATGAGCTGAATGCTGTAACTAACCTCCACTCTGTGCTCAGGTGCTGGGTGTACATGCCCACCCCCTCACCCACCCACCTTAACATTCAAAGGGCTCATGTCGGAATTGGATGTCCCGGAGTGCATCCCATATTGGGAATCAAATAACACGAAGGGTGTGGGACATACTATAGGGGTCCTTAATCATTAGCATGGGGTTTTGCGGATTCTAATGGTGTTTTTATACAGGGACCATAAGGGAACAATATGAGTAATTATTACCCTAAACCCTAAACCCAAAACTCTAAGCCCTAAAGGGACCACAAAGGGAACGCTATGAGTAATTGTATTCCGACCCCTAATACTCCTGCCCAAAGGTGGCTCACGGATGCCGATATGATGCATGGCTTGCACGCTGTTGCCTACTATTTGCTTCAGAACCACCCAAAAATATGAATATGCTTCCGTATTAAGATTATTATTCTTCATTTTGTTGCTTGCGAAGTGGTCGGATCATCAGTGCAAGGATCTCTTCGGACTCCTGCTGCTTTTGTAGCTGTGTCAGTACACTCAACATATCCCGAACCCCTACTCCCTGCTACTGAAACGCCCCCAAAGGCCCCTAAAATCCCGAAAGAGCTGCAATCCAACAGCCTCCAAAAAAAGCAGGAATAAATGCCATTCAAAGGGTGCTTTGTGCACCTTGGCTATGGGCTCAGCTTCTCCCTCAGCTCTTACTTGACTAACCGGTTGACGGTTTCGGTGTACTTCTTCTTTGCCGCATCCTTGGTCATGCCCTTGACCTTGTTCCATGCGTCCCACTTGGCCCTTGACTTCATCTTCATAATGGATGGACGCGAGGTGCTGACGTCTCCTTGTGTCGCTTGCATGTAGAGAGCGTAGGCATCCAGCAGCTCTTGGTTTGGGACCTGGCCGGCGCCGCGCTTCATCTTCTCCTGCGCGGCTTGGAAGTCGGATTGGAGATCCAGGTTGATGAGCCCGCCGTGCTTGGCCGCGATCTGATCAGAAGCCTCAGGCTTGGTGCTAACATGTCCTCCCTTGCCACAAGACGCCTTTAAGATCCTTTACAGCAGTCCCTCTCCTAGCCATGAGGCCGCCCTTGGGTTCATGGTGCTCAGGCCCACAACTGCCAGCATGAGCATGGAGGCCACCACAGCCACGACTTTGACCTTGGGGAACTTGCGGTCAGGCGCCTGTTCCTCCTCAGAAAGCCAAGGGAACAAACAATTCTCGGGACAAGAGCCGAACAGTGGGGAACAGATGGAAGCGACTTCGTTGGGACAGGGCTCTACGAGATGAATTCGCCTTCCTATTCACAACTTGGCGGTCGGTTGGTGATTTCACTCTTCATGAGAGCAGGTACCCAAAAAACAGATTCTGGCCAACTGAGTTGGATCTTCACCGAGGCTCGCATTGGCTGGACTCCTCATCGAAGAGTTCGTGCTGGAGTTCGGCCATGGGTCACCAGAAGGAAGAAAGAACCCAGCTCACAGGAATCAGGAGGGCACCAAGGCTAAAACGGCTCTCGGGATTACTGTCCGGAGCGCACTCCAGCAGAGACGGTTCAGGACTTCAACATTCAGCGTGCGTGAGACCGCTAAACCTTCAACTCCAGTGGATAAGGGGTCAGGGTCTAGGGGCTTAAGGGTTTACGCGGTTCACCTGAGGGGTCAGGGATCGTCTAGTGAGAGAAGCCATTAATTACCCTAAACCCTCAACCCTAAACCCCAAACCCTAAACCTCTAAACTTCAAACCCACTTGCCCACCTTAGCGCGACATGTCCCCAAGTCTTAGCCCTTAGAAGATTTATGGCCGCTTAGTTCCTTCGTCACATAGGAGTCCCCCCCACCCCCCAAACCCCCACACCTCAAACCCCCTTGTGCCTTTTGAACCCTTATAAAGCCCGTTGCTAGGGTTAGGGTTTAGGCTTTGGGTTCAGGGTTCAGGGTTCAGGGTTTAGGGTTCAGGTTTAGGGTTCAAGGTTTGGGTCCTTGCAGGACAAAAAGCTCTCTGCACGCCCGCGTTTGCGATTAGGAGCACGAAGATTGAAAAACAACAAAGCACCACCAACATTGCTGAGTACGTGAAGGTTGGGTAATTATGAGAAGGGTTATAGGCATAGGCTCCCAGTGGTTGTAAACCGCACTGAAGAGCACCTGTCTGCGATTACTACCCCAATCCCCGAACCCTGAACCCTGAACCCTAAACCCCCAAACCCTTGCGCGTCTGAGGCCCAAGCCGCTGCGTGGACGTTGCTGTGGTACGGGTTACTGGCCGCGTATCCTCGGTGTTCAAGTCTTTTCTCAGAAGCCGCAATATTCCCTTGGCCATAAGCTCAGGGCCTAGGCCGCCCCCCTACCTTTATTTTGTTTGTACCCTGACCTCTCAAGTTCTGTCAGGGCCTTTCGGGCCTTGTGGGCCCCCTGAACCCGGGCCCCCCCCCCCCCCCTGACCCTTAACCCGCTGGGCCATGGGCCCCCTAAACCCCGCCCTTCTTAGTCTGCGACCCTCCCTGAAACTGCCTCCCGACCGTTTGAGTTTAGGCCTAAACCCTAAAAGGAATAGGTTTGGGTGGCTTTGCCGCCTTGGACGGCGTGGGGTGGGGGAAAAGTGTTAGATGGCCCTCCACAATCGGGCCAAAGCTGCTCTTCGCACCTCACGAAGCTTTCGAGCTTGTTCCGAAACCTAACCTTCACAGCATCTACGCCCCATCACAGCAAACCCTAAACCCTAAACCCTAAACCCTAAACCCTAAACCCTAAACCCTAAACCCTAAACCCTAAACCCTAAACCTCAACCCTCAATCCTGAACCCTCAAAGTCTGGCTTATGGCATACCCCTGAACCCAGACACCTTGGAAGATCTGGTTTTCTGGCTTCGGAAAGCCCCTCATTAGGGCCGCCTGGCAGGTGCTTCTTGAAGTCCGAACACACACTTAAACAGACCCTGAGCCCAAACCCTAAACCCTAAACCAAAAACCCTAAACGAATATCCTAAACCCTAAACCCTAAACCCCAACCCCAAACCCTAAACCCTGTAACCCTGCACCTTGCCCATATCCTCCGAAACTGCTTAAGAAAGGAATTTATCATGAAACCAGTAACAAGGGCCCCAGTATGAAGGTTTCCGACATTAGTGGTACCTTCTTGGGGTCCTTATGATGCGAGGATCCTAATATGTGGGGGTCGATATTTGGGGTCCCCTGTTTTCGGATACCCCTACATGTTTTTAAGGAATGTCCTGCCCTAACCATTAACCCTAAACCCTAAACCCCAAACCCTAAACCCCAAACCCTAAACCCTGAACCCTAAACCCTGAACCCTAAACCCTAAACCCTCAACCCTCAACCCTAAACCCTAAACCCTCAACCCTAAACCCGAAGGCAGACAGCTCTCCTCAGCCCGAATTCCAAAGCGCCTGACTTCGGCAACTTATAGCGAACCTGACCCTAAACCCTAAACCCTAAACCCTAAACCCTGATAAACCCGATAAATCCCTATAAACCCTAAGCAAACCCTATAAACCCCTATAAAGCCCCCAAAAGAAACCCTATAAAACCCTATAAACCCTCTCAACCCTCGAAACTCTCTAACCCTACCCTAAACCCCGAACCCTACACACCCCCCCCCCTCCCCAGGAACTGATCTCTGTGGCTGCAGCTGGACTCCAAAGCGTCCAAGAAAGCTGGGAGATGCTCCTGCAGGCTTCCGTTGGCCGTTTAGCTTCCTGGCCCAAACCCAAGGAAGCAAAAAGTTGCAACTTTCAGAATAAACTACCTGATAAGAGGCCCAAAAGTTGAAAAGTTGGGTTTTGAGTCAGTAAGTTTACGGGATTTAAGAGGGTTTAAGGGGTCTTTAAGGGTTTTTGGGGTTGAGGGGGTTTAGAGCTTTAGGGGGCTTAGGGCTTTTAGGAGTCCAGGCGGCTCTCGGGGGTCTGGGTCTTGCGGGCGTTAGGGGCTTTAGGGGCTTAAAGTCCTCTTGCCTTCTGCCCTGTAGTCTGACCGAGGAGATAAACTGGTTCGGGGCGGGGTAGTTTGGAAATGATGTTTTCTAAGTGCTCCCAGAGTGGGGCTTGTACAGATTCGAAATCATGATTGTTGTGTGCAGCCTGCGTATCTTTACTAGAGCGATTCCATACCCCCCCCTCTCCCAAAGACCCTCAGCCCGTAAACCCTCAAGCCCTAAAAGGCCCTAAACCCTTAAACCCTCAAAGCCTAAACCCTCAAGCCCCAAACCCTTAGACCCTCAAAGCCTAAACCTTCCCAACGCAAGGGGATTTGAGCAAGATCGAGAAGATGTGTGCTCCACTCATAGGGCCGGATCAGCTCACCAGCTCTCTCCCCTAAATCCTAAACCCTAAACCCCTGAACCCTAAATAAACCCTAAATAAACCCTAAATAAACCCTAAATAAACCCTAAATAAACCCAGCACCAGGAATCCCAGTCAATTTTATCAGCTTAGCATTTACCGGGTGCTGTTTTTTGTGGGTCTGCTGATGGTGATTGTTAGTCACATAGCACCAGCAACAGCACCAGAAATAGCACCAGAAATAGCACAAACAATAACACAAAAAATAGCACCAGAAATAGCACAAACAATAGCACAAAAAATAGCACCAGAAATAGCACCAGGAATAGCACAAAAAAATGCACCAGAAATAGCACCAGCACCAGGAATAGCACCAGGAATAGCACCAGGAATAGCAGGAATCTCAGTCAATTTTTTGGCATTTACCGGGTGCTTTTATTTGTGGGTCTGCTGGTGGTGACTGTTAGTGTGGACCGGCCGAACCCAACCCTAATTAAACCCTAAATAAACCCTAAACCCCTAAGACCTAAACCACAACCGCCTACCACCTTTGCAAGAGCGCTACGAGCTTGGTGTTCATTTCAAGCAGCGCGTCTGCTCCGTTTTTTCCCCCTGGTTCTCAGTAGGGAATGAGGGAATGAGGGCCCTACAGAATCCCATAAAGGGTATATCTAGGGCCCTGATTCCCTCATTCCCTACCAGCCAGTTTTTGGATCTGAAGAGCAGCCAACTGGGCTGCTAGCTCCTTCTTATCATCATTTGCGGCTGCCTGCTCCCGCAGGTAGCTTTGGAGATGTAGGGCTTGAGGTTTAGAGAGCCTCAAAACAAACCCTAAACCCTAAACCCTAAAACCTAAGGCCTAAAGCCTAAAGCCTAAACCCTAAACCCTAAACCCTAAACCCTGCCTGCGGCAGCCAAGCCCTCTGGCTCAGAAACTCGCGTCCGACCTGGGCCCCAAGAATATTTTCGTAAACCCCGAAACCTCAGTGGACCTGGTTGGGGCGTAGTTTGGGTTGAGAACTCCAGGCCTGACTTGCCTGCTTAAGGGTGTTAAGGTCTGGGAGGTTTAGGGTTTAGGGTTTAGGGTTTAGGGTTTAGGGTTTAGGGTTTAGGGTTTAGGGTTTAGGGTTTAGGGTTTAGGGTTAGGGTTTAGGGTAGGTGCTGCAGCGGCCTCACACCTGGCAAGGATCTTTTGGGTTCCCCGAGCCCCCCAAAGAAGCACCTCGGGATCGTCTCAACACGTATGAAACCCGGCCGAAAGCCTACGCTTCCCAAACCCTGAGGGCTACCCTAAACCCTAAACCCTAAACCCTAAACCCTAAACCCTAAACCCTAAACCCTAAACCCTAAACCCTAAACCCTAAACCCTAAACCCTAAGGCTAAGGGCCAACTTGAAGGGTTCATGGCTAAGAAAGCAACCTGAGCCCTTGCTTCGGGTTCATGGCTAGCTGACCCGCACACCGGAACTAGGGTTGTAGCTGCAGGCGCCCTACGTATAACCCTATGTCAAATGTGGGAACTACCCGCGAACCTTGAAGCAAGCAGCCAGCCCCACTTATAGAGGCGTGAGGTGCCAAATGCCCAATAAGCCCAAAACCAAAAGTGGCAACTCAGAATTATGAAACTAAACGCAGACGCTTACACACATTTCCACCCACACACACACTCACTCACTCACTCACTCCCTCCCTCCCTCCCTCCCTCACTCACTCACTCACTCACTCACTCACACGCGCAGCAAAAAAAAAACACGAGGTTGGGAAACCGGGCCAGTTTCAGCACGCTGCCGACCTGCGATGCCACCTTCCAGCAAAGGATTCTGATGCCAAACCAAGGGCGGCTTTTAAGGGTTTACCCTAAACCCTAATGTTGCACCCGCTTTAGTATCGGCCCCCGCTTTAAAGACAAACTGGCCAAATTATTCAGGACACCCTGACTGTTTGGGAGTCCCTCTTTAAAGACAAACCGTTCCCGAAATCCGGATTTTTTTTAGGGTTTGGGGCTTGTTTTAACTTAAGTTGAAACATTTAATCCTCAATGCCTTATGATGTTAAAGCCGGACCTTGTGATTTTGAAGGCCGACCTCATCCGTTCCACCCGGTCCGAAACCATTAATTCCCTTTAAGAAACCATTTGAAATATTGGTTT